TTTGGCAACTAAAATAATTTAGTCGCTGATTAAAAAATAAAAATTTACTTTTTATTTTTGGCGACCAGAAGTTTGGTAGCCATAAATTTATTTTCAGCGACTAATAAATATTTTATTCGTTGTATAGTTACTTTTGGCTACTAAATTTATTTAGTTGCTGAATGGAAAACAAAAATTTACTTTTATTTTTGGCGACTAAAAGTTTGGTCGGCAAAAATTTATTTTCGGCAACTTAATAAATTTTAGTCGTCATATACCAACTTTTGCCGACTAAAAGAAATTTAGTCGCCAAATATCTAGTATAATTTTATTTTTAATCTTTGGTAATTACCTCATTTGGTCGGCAAATATACATTTTTTGTGACTAAAACACATTTAGTCGACAATAAAACTCAATGTTTTTTGTGGGAACACATACTGCCCAATTTGAGTTCATGTTTAATTTTTTTTTTGTCTCTCACTCTCTATCTCTTTCTCTATCTCTCTCTCTCTCTCTCTCTTCTCTTTCTCTCTCTTACTCATCACTCTTTTCTGTCTGTCTCTCTGTCTCTTTCTCTATTTGTCTCTTGCTCATCTTTCTTCTCTCTATCTCTCTCTATCTCTCTTCTTTCTCTATCTCTATCTCTGTCTCTCCCGCTCATCTTTCTTCTTCTTCTCTCTCTCTCTCTCTTTCTATGTCTTTCTCTCGATTATCTCTTTTTGCTCTCTTTCTCTCTCTCTCTTTGTCTATCTCTCGCTCATCTCTTGTTTCTCTCTCTTTTTCTGTCTGTCTGTCTCTCCATCTCTCTCTCTATATATATACCTCTTTCTCTCTCTGTCACTCTCTCACTCATCACTCTTCTCTCTCTCTTTCTCTCTCTGTGTCTGTCTGTCTCCCTCCCCCATTGTGTTCATCTTGCTCATTCTCTCTCTCCACTCTTCTCTATTTATCGAGCTCTCCACTACAAGAAAATGCACTTTTAGCGACCATTTTGCCTCTCTCTCTCTCATTCATCACTCTGTCTCTCTATCTCTCTTCTCTATCTGTCTCTCACTCATCTCTCTCTCACCACCCATCTCCTCTGCCACCTTCACCACTACTGCAAATGTCATTCCACTACCACCATTATTGCCACTGTTGCCACTCCATCTCTACGACTACCATTGCTACCGCCATCGCTACCACTCCACTACCACCACTGCTATCACTACTACTACTACTACTACTATTACCTTTCCACCACCACCGCTACTCTATCTCCTCTATCATGACCACAACTTCACCACTAATCTCCTTCGCCATCACCACCACCACCACCATCACCTCACCTCTTATCCACCACCTTCACCACTACTGTCGATCCCTCTCCTCTACCACAAAAAATTAGCTCTTGATTTTTAGTAACAAAAAAAAAAGGGGTCACAATAAATATTTTTCATCGACAATAAAAAATTAACTTTATTTTAACGAAAAATATTTTTCTTTAAAATATTACCCCTACTTCTATCAAGTAAAAAAAAAATTAATTAAAATAAAAATAAAACTATTTCCCTCCCCCCCCAAAAAAAAATGGGTCACAAAAAATATTTTTCATCGACCATAAAAAATTAACTTTATTTTAATGAAAAATATTTTTCATTAAAATATTATCCCTACTTCTATCAAATAAAAAAAAATAATTAAAGTAAAAATAAAACTAATTACCCCCTTCTCTTTTTCCACCCGCCCAAACTTAATTTCCCCCCTTTTTTTTCCCTCTACCTTTTCCACCCCATTTTTTTTCATTTCCTTTCAGGTTTGTGGAGCCCTTAATTTCACAATGTTTCAAAATAGTGAGCAAACCTTAATCTGAGAGAGAGAAGATAGAGGGTTTGAAGAGAGACTGGGGTTGAAGGGGAAAGGTTTCAATCGGCGACAAGACTGGTTTAGCAGCGGCGAGACTAGTTCGGCGACGAGACGGTACACTTCTTTTGACTCTTCTTTCGACTCTCTCATTCCAGTCAGTTCCTCTATCAACTGGGTTGAAATGGTTCCTCTATATCTCTATGTTGCCCCCACCGCCTCTATATCTCTATGTGACTGTGTATCCTTGGAACAACAATGATGTAGTTTTATAATCCGAACAGATCTTAAACCCTATCAAGCTTTTGACTTGATACATTGTTCAAGGTGTAGAATTAATTGGACTCGTGATGGTATGCTATTCTCTCTCATAATTTAATTTATTATCTTTGTTGGGTAGAAAATGATTTAGTGAACAACTAATTAGGCATTAGAGCATATATTGGAAGTGTTGCACCTTCTATTGCTTCCTTGCAGAATTTCTCTCAAAGGTTAAATAAAATTTTCATGCCAAATATGTTTCTCATTAACTTCTTGTATTCTTGATATGGGTAATGGAGCCACCACCTGCATAAAGATTGATGACTTTGTCAGTCTCAAACTGGCAAGTGAATGTCTGATATGAGATCCCAATTCTCTATGTTCCATCAGTTCTTTCCTGAAGTGGATCATTGATCACCGTGGGATTTCCATACCTTCAAACTTTTAGTTGAAAAAATTATAACCATCGAATAGGTTTTTATGCTAAGAAATGTAGTTTATGACAAATTTTCATTTATTGTCGACACTCTGATTCCGTGTATTTGTTAGCTGTTGACTGTAATGAAAGATCCACCAGGTTTTGTTTTGACATGTGAAGAGCTTTGCCTCGACAATCACTTAGTATATGTATGTGTGTATATGTATTGTGTTGTAGCCTAATTCCTCATTTCACACTTCCAATTGATAAGAGATAAAGTAGTTTAAAAGGCAATTAAGCATTTTTATTTACCATATGATTCATATCTGCAAGTTTATGAGGCTAATGTGTAATCATTCTTGTTTATGCATTATAAATTATAACCTAGTTGTTCCATGTCGTCTATCCTCACTATTTTCCATGTGGCATATCATTATCATTGTGCAAATCTGTTATCTGGAAAGAGTAGTAGATATTATATGGGAAAATTGTAGATGTTCATTTGTGGGACATATTCTTATCATGCCTTTGTTTGTTTCTTTCATTGTGGCAAAGATGGAATTTTGCTGCTCGAGGTCAACAGGACGCTACGTGCAGGAGGATACTTTGCTTGGGCAGCACAGCCTGTTTATAAGCATGAATTAGCCCTTGAAGAGCAGTGGGAAGGTATGACTAAGCAGAATTTGTTTATAAAATAAGATGAACAGTTATTTTCACTTCAGTGAGTCGATAAGCATTTTTGAGTTTGAGTTTCGAATGTTTGCATAGCTTTCTGTTATACCCTTATATGAAAAATTGTGCACCATAGTTTGCATTTGATCTCCCTGTTGAATCCCAATTGCTTACAGAGTGACTTCTGCAATTGTTTATAACTTAGAAAAAATTAAGGAATTTGAATTTGGTAACTACCCCAGCTTGGAGAACAAAAAAATTGCAAACTGGTTATGGTACTTAGATAAAATGGCAGGGAAAGGTCCTAAAGCATGTAATATGTTAGTTCATCTGGGTGCCCCATAATTTGTTTAATGAAGGTCAATCTTCCAGTGCACCCAAATGAAGTGTTTCCATTGCATTTTATTAGTGGTCTAAATAGGAGTAACATGTGCAGCACATTAGACAAGAAGTTCAGTTTACTGATCGTTTGCCTTCCTTCATCTTCAGAGATGATTAATCTTACAAGCCACCTTTGTTAGAATCTTGTGAAGGAGGGGTATATTGCAATTTGGCAGAAGCCCTTGAACAACAGTTGCTACTTAAGTCGTGAGGCAGGAACGCGACCTCCGCTGTGTGATTCAGATGATGATCCAGACAGTGTTTGGTATATTAACTATCCTCTTTCTAGTATATTTTGGTGATGCAAATAGTACATTAAACTGCCTTGAATGGTTAAAGTTTTAGATCTCTATTTGACAACTGTTATGTCCGTAAGGCTTCTGCATATTCAGTAGTATGACATGTTAACTTCATGCATTGTAGGCCTACAGCTACTGTAATTTATGTGTAACCATTGACATGAAATATTGACAAGCTTTATGTTTAGACCATCAGCAGTAAAAAATGGGACTGTAAACCTTATTGACTTTAAGCACTTGGCCTAGTAATGACATGTACCCTAGTAATGACTATAAAGCCTAGTAATGACATGGTTCCCTGTGACTTTTTCTCATCCTGCCTTATCATGTCTTTTGGTGTTGTGGTCTTATCATGTGATGCATCAACCACTTCATTTTCAGTATTGCATCACATAATTGATTTGGTGCATATCCACCTGAACGCTGCTTTTCTGAAATTATAGCTCCCTACCAGAACTGTCCCTTTTGAAGGAAACTTCAATTAGGGTCTCCCATTATCTACTCCAAAGCTAAATTCAGTTTCTAAGAATCCAGTATGCTGTTTGTGGGACGGAGAACTTATAATTGTATGAGAGTGTATCTTAAATAAGTATATTTCTTGTTTTGATTTCTGCTTGGAATATTTAGATGAACTTCTAGTTGTTGCCCTTTTCATCATATAATATATTTCTTGTCTAGTAAATGGCAATAATTAAAATTGAATATGTATTTCAAAAGTTTATGCTTTACAAAAAGGTGATGTTATTGATTTGCAGGGATCATTCAAATTTTGTCAGTTGTGCACAGTTTTGTACAGATGGTAGCAAGTTCATTACGGTAAGCTCTGATAAGAAGGGTATACTATATGATGCGAAAACTGGAGAGAAAATTGGAGAGCTATCCTCAGAGGATGGTCATAAAGGCAGCATTTACGCTGTTAGCTGGAGCACTGATGGTAAACAGGTAATCAGTGTTGTGTGGATTCTCTCTCGTGCTGCTTCTAGTTGATTTTCTGTTCAAAATTTGGTTATTAAATTTTCAGATTTGATTTTTTGGATTTTTTTTTCTGAAACGTTCAAACACAGTGGACATTTATGTATTAAATATGGAAGTGATTGATGCCCCCTCTCCCCACCACCCCCACAAACACGTGGGGGTTGGTGATTGGAGAAGGGGAAAAAAAAATTGGCCAATTTCAGGCCAGTGCGGGTCGTGGGGTCCAAATCAGTTTTCTAATAAATAATTGTTTTTCCCAGAAATTTTGCTAGTTTTAGACTGAGAAAAAGGAAATATTGCATCTGCAGAGGATCTGTTGAATTGTATAAGAGCATTTTAGTGTAACCCTGAACATCATTTGTTGGCTAAATTTTGTAATTGGGTTCTTTGCATGTTAGTAATATTATAACCGACAAACTTAGGGAGTGGGAAGGTGTGGGAAACTACAGGATTGATTTTTTTCTTCTTTTTCCCCTTAATAGCACAAAATCAACTAGGTTAGACATAAATAATGATTATCTTTCTTACTCACTGAGCAGTGAACCATTATTTCATGGTTTATTTTGTGTCTGCTTTTAGAAATGTATAATACATGCTCCTCCTCTCTTTGATATGGATCAGATTGGTAAAGTTGGTAAAGTTCAAAAAAAAATTAAAATTTTAATTTATTTTATTAAAATAGCATACTTAAGTTAATAAATTTGATAAAATTAAATATTTGATATAAAATAAATATTAAGTATTTAAAAATATGATATATAATAAATATATAAAATTTTATGTTTTGCACATGTCCCCAACATGTCGTACCCTGCATATTTTAAAAATTTGTGTGTCCGTATGTCTGTGTCGTGTCACATATCCGTGTCTGTACTTCTTAACTAATAAGAGATAAATAATAGGGTAAATTATGTAGACCTCCCTCAAGTAAAAAGAAATATAGATAGCTTCATAGTCTTGGCATGATTACACTGTACATACCTCAAAATTTAAATTCATTTAACACTTTAACACGTACAGTTTGTTAATCTCATGGATGGAAAATAGTGGCCATCACGTTTATACTAAAATATCTATCATACCCTTAAACGTAGATAATTACTTATATCCAAGCACCAGTATTCCTTAATTGAATCACATTTTTCTAAAAGGAATCACACTCCATCTTCTCACTCTCTCTCACTCCCCCTGCTCCCTTGCAACCCCATCTATCTCAGCCACCCCACAACCTAACTCTCCCTCATCACTGAAGGTAGATTACCTTCAGCATGACTACGTCTGCTAATGTTTTCTAAGGTCCCCCAAGTAACTCTCCCTTATAACTGCTAATAGTTAGGTTGACAACGTCTTCAGCATTTGCTCAAACATAGATTACCTTCAGTACTACAAGTAATTCTATTTAGATGAACTGTCCCTTGGAATATTTCGAGTGTATCTTAAACTTTAATAACTTTTTGAAATGCATATTCAATTTTAATTACTGCCATTTACTAGACAAGAAATATTTAGATGAACTTGCTACTATTTGATTTCTTGTAGTACTGCCATTTACTTTTTGATTAGTTACATTGTCTATCACACTATTGGGCTATTGGTGTTTGCTACTGTTCGTTAATTTTATGAACTTATTGTTTGAATAGGTTTTGATGCATTATATTAGGACACTTAGCACCTGTAGTTTGGATACTCTGAAGGACTTCAATTATGAAACAGTTGAACCGAGTACATAAATGGTCTTAGGGGAGAGTTGAGCAGAATACTCACATTAGCACAACAAGACATTTCTGTAGTTGACGGGGAGAGTTGAAGAGAAAAGGAGATGGTCTGGGGGGATTCATCAAGCTGTAGAAGCCAAAGAAGGTGTCAAAATTGAGGTATCTCCTGAGGTTTCAATCTTTACAAAGTTTTTCTTTTACATCAAAACTTTCTTTCTTATTGTACTCAAAGCTATATATCCTTACACTTGTTAGGCTCAATTCCTTTAACCCAGCAAAAACCATGATTGATGAATTGATTACAAAAATTCAGTGCTTTTATATTTAATCTAATCATAACAAACTAATCTAACCACGGTTTAATTCTAACAGCCTAACTACTTGAAATAGTTATGCTAGTTCTCTTTATAACACATGAGCATAACTGAAGGTACAGCCCTATCTATTCTGACTTTAGCTGCTCTGGCTGCGGCTGGTACTGCAGCCTTGCTGTGTTGACCTGGCCTGGTCTTGCCGCAGCTGGGGTTGCAGTGGCTAGCTCTGGCTTATGCTCTATTTTGATATAATGTGTACCTGTCACATTTACATGTAGTGAGATTTGTTATTATACTTGTATAATAATTACTGAGAAATATATCATGCATCCATAATCATGTCATATCATCATTGTAAATTTTTTTCCCTACTCAACACACAAGTTAATATATATATAATTTAGGTAAATATAAAGTGAGTGGTGGATTCTCATCATTCATTGTGTTCATGCCAACAGCTACAAAATTATAACGGATGATTCATGTTTTTCTACTTCAAAATCTTCATTGACAGTGTGCCACAATGTAATTTTGTTTCCCTTTCCTGTGCCCTTAGCAGCCCAATGCTATTATAACTTTAACATTCGGATCCATCATGATTTTTCTTGACTTTTTATGCTATTATAATTTTATGTCTATAGTTGTTAACTAGGTATTTTAGTTGTGGTTTCACTAATAGATAGCTTTTGCTAGAAAATTAAGTATCTTATCTTATCTATTTCACTAATTGATTTGTGTGTCTTTCTCTTTGCAGCTAGCAGAAGCAGCAAAAGCACAATTTTCACGTGATTACAGTGATAACCTTGTTCTTGTCCGGGCTTACGAGGCCTGGAAAGAAGTTGAAAGAGACGTAGCTAGATATTAATATTGTTGGAAGAATTTTCTTTCTGCTCAATCAATGAAAGCTATTGATGCTCTGTGAAGGGAGTTCTACTCTTGTCCGGGCTTATAAGGCCTGGAAAGAAGTTGAAAGAGATGTAGCTGGATATGAATACTATTGGAAGAATTTTCTTTCTGCTCAATTAGTGAAAGCTATTGATGCTCTGTGAAGGGAGTTCTACTCTTCACTTAAGGAATATGTTTTAAATTTTAATCCTAAGTGGATGTGAATTGGATGATTATATAGATTACAAGCGGATTTTTAATTGAACGAATATGTAGTTTGGAATTACTTGCGGATGAAAACTTATAATAGTTGCTAACTTTAATTAAACAGGTTTAGAGTTTGATGATTTATGTAGTTTGTCGAATGTTCATGATTGAGGTGAATTGTTGGTTTGATTGATTATTGTAAATTACAGATTGTATTGAATAGATTGGATAGATTATTATGAATTACAAGTTTATTTTATTGCATGTTGGCGCAAACATTCCTTTTGGCGACCAAAACTTTTTGGACCTAGAATGTCACAATTGGCGACCAAAATTTTTTGTCGTGGAATGTCACAATTGGCGACCAAACTTTTTAGTCGTGGAATGTGATAATTAGCAACCAAACCTTTTGGTCGTGGAATGTGACAATTGGCGAGCAAACTTTTTGGTCGTGGAATGTAATAATTGGCAATCAAAATTTTTAGTCGTGGAATGTGGCAATTCGCGACTAACATGTTTGGTCGGGAATATGTTACTTTTCGCGACTAAAGTGTTTTAGCGACTAAATGGATTAGTCGTAGTAATGATATATTTAGCGATCAAAAATTTAGTCGGCAAATTTAACTTTTTCCCGACTAACAAAAGTTTTGGTCGCTAATTACTTTTACTGACCCTCAATTGGCGACCAAGGTGGCAACCAAAAAAATTGGTCGCGAATAGCTTTTGCCGACTAAAAATTGACTTTTGCGGACCAAATTTTCAGTCGCCAAAAATGTGATTTCTTGTAGTGAATATTGCCGACCAATCTTTTTGGTCATGGAATGTATTGCCGACCAAATTTTTTGGTCGCGGAATGTGACAATTGGCGACCAAATTAGTTGGTCATGGAAATGGGCGACAATTGCTGACCAAACTATTTGGTCGTTGAATGTGCGAATTGGCGACTAACATGTTTGGTCGGGAAAATATGACTGTTCGCGACTAAAGTGTTTTAGCTACTAAATGGATTAGTCGCAGTAATTATGTATTTAGTAACCAAAAATTTAGTCGGCAAATATAACTTTTTCGCGACTAAAATTTTTTTTAGTCGCTAATTACTTTCCGCGACCCTCAATTGGTGACCAAAGTGGCAACTAAAAAAATTAGTCGCGGATAACTTTTGCCAACGAAAAAATGGACTTTTGCCGACCAAATTTTTTGTCGGCAAAAGTGCGAATTCTAGTAGTTTCTAACTAGTTTCACATATCGTGCCAATTTTACCCTCCCAAATATTATTATATAATTATTTCTACCCAATAAATTAATAATAAACAACTTTTATTTCATAATATTGTCACCCTTTTGCTAATAGATAAATAAATGATTGAAGGCAACTTATTAGCTAACTCGGGGGACTTTCTCACTTGTTAGAGTCCTTGTCCCCTTTTTCATATGCCTATATTAATATAGATCTAATTACGGGAAATAGAATGAAAAAAAAAAAAAAGGAAGGAAAAAAAAGTGGCATTTGAAAGCTTTTTTTTTTTTTTTTTTTTAAGATTAGAAAAATAAAAATAAAAAGAAAATGAATAGAGATTTGTAATAATAATGAAAATAATAATTTATCCGTTTACCATAAAAAAGATAAAAGTTGATGAATAAGTATATGGGTCTTTTTACTTTTATTTCATTTCTTTTTTGGAAAATAAATATTACAATATGTTAAAAATATGGGTATTTATTAATAAATTCCTCTTCATTTACTTATATTTCACTTAGTGTAAATTATTTTCTTATATTTTAATAAGTCTTATAAGTGACATAATTACCAAACTATCTCTAATAATAATATTCATATTAACAATGTGTCGATGTCAAAATTCATACGTCAATGTAAACATTTACACTGTAAAATATAAATATTCACATCACTAAATTGCTAAGCGTTCAAAAAAATATTTATAAGTTCAAATTGTCCATAAAATTGTTGGACAATCTTCACTGTAATTA